TTTTTATTAGATATCATGTGTCTGTTTATAATTAATGACAACATCGATCCCCCTCCCAGATTTGCACCTCCGACAATCCAAACCAGAAGCCTTCTTGGTTATCTCTTCTGGCTATCATCACCACCTCTCGTCATCTTCTCCAACCAAACCCCATTACAAACACCAACCCATTCACACAAAAAAGCCCAGACCTCAAAATCGAACACAAATCTAGATCCAAACCTCAAAATCAAAGCTAGATCCAAACCCAAAATCAAAATTAAATTCTGACCCAAATCAAAACCTCATTTATCGAGGGTATTTGCTTCTAAAAATTTTGTTTATTATTTAACAAGGGCGAAGATGAAAAGAAAAACAAAGAAATGGGGCTAAGATGAGGTCGGTGTTGTATATATAGTCCTCATAGTGAGACTCCGTCCCACATAGAAAGGATAGTGAAATTATGTTTCACATGTGAGATACATATAAGTTCTTAAGGCATATCACTTGCCCCACATAGGAACTGTGATAAAGTCTTGGTTTATAAGTTCTAATTGTCTTCTTGAGTTGTTTAAGAGATTATATGAGCTACGAAAGATTTGGCTTTGACGTGTGGATTTTACACATATGTTATACAGCCAAAAGAGAGCACTGGCACTGGTATCCAAATGAGTTAGGGACACGAACCTGTATGACATGTGCACTCCTTTCGTCATTTGATATCACAAATAACAATTCTCTAAATACCTCCATATATGTTTCTACATATTGTTCATTGATGAATATATTCATTTGATTACTGAATCTTGGGGTCAAAATCTGGAAAAAGAACGACTAAAATTTAACTTTTATTGAACACAAAGTTTACTCCAAATTAATTCCAAACGAGGAATCAATGAGTCACTTACAAGATAAGACCAAATTAAAAGTCAAGAAACTTCCAATGCCAAACCTCAAACAAGCTCGAGGTTAAGAACGAGTGTTACTAAAACCCATTAACTGTAACTATCTCCAAAGTACGGAAGACGTCTTCTAATAGCTAATTCCTTCACGTGCCTCTAACTAGCACTCAAATTCATCACAATGTCGCTAATACCATTTCCCAATGAGGACTTGATGCATATAACGTCAAATAAAAAGAGTTAGACTTAACATCTATGAGCTCAAACAATTTTCATCCCAAATAATATAAAATGATAAAACTGAAAAAATGTTATTTAAATCACAGTTTACCAAATGAAATGTATTTAACATAAAAAGAAACATCTTTCCCAAAACCCACCATTTTTATGATGAAAACTCTATTATATAAAACACCCTTTTGAAATGAAACGAAAATCCTACTCACTTAAAACGTGAATACTTCAAAATATTCAAATATCTAAACATGGATAAAACTTCATTATCCATAACATCAAAATAGGGATACAACTCAATTTCCAGAAATGACAACTCATGGAAAAAACTTTGTACCAAAAACAACACCTTTCGGTGATGGGGGAGACTCGTTCCATCGACCATTGTGAAACACAAAGTAAGTCATACATCAACGTTATCAAGTTGCACCTCGAGATTCAATTGACTTTAATGTCTAATATTTTGAGCTTCAACTCAAGGCTCATGTCCTTAGTGCCTACCCTTCTGGGTAGCACTTCAAGGCTCATGGTTCTTCGTGCCTACCCTTTCAAGTAGCACCTTAAGACTCAATAATCTTAGTGCCTACTCTATAAAGTTTTCTACTGTAAAAACTCACTCTATTTGCCCTTCAACTATTCACAACCCTTTCAACATTCGGTTAGTATCAACACGTGTACAAAACTCATATTTTACAACTTGAACATACTAAATAATTCCGTAGGTATTCACCTTCCATATACATAACGCCATATGTATAAAACACACGGCACCATGACTACCATACAGTTTAGTAAACATATACATAACGTCATATGTATAAAACGCACGACACCATGACTACCATACAATTTAGTAAACATATACATAACGCCATATGTATAAAACGCACGACACAAAGACTACCATACAATTTAGTAAACATATACATAACGTCATATGTATAAAACGCACGACTCCATGACACTTTAACACTTCACAGTGATCAACTTGTCGAGAAGTGTCAGTAACTTTATAAAACTTGAAATGAAATATTGAAACATTGTTGTTACATAAAGGGATCTATTATCTTTTGTTTTACAAACTCACCCTTTCAGTCTTACACCCAAGCTAAGAGATATATTTAGCAACTCATAACGGAACGGAAATTGCAAGAAATATAAATTACAGTAAATAAAGACATAAAACTAAATAACAAAAAGTAAATAGCGAAATTTAAATAGCAGAATGTAAAGACGGAAAACGTAATAAATAAAGGAAAGTAACAATGCATAAATAAAGATAATTAAAAGTAAACTTGGAAGAGAGAAGAGAATTCAACTAAAGATTACTTGCTTTAGTAAACAAAAACTTGTTTCTTAAAACACTAACTCAGCCCCTCTATTTATACTAAGATAGAGGTGAAGGTATAAAGTAATTAACCACTAAACTTGGAGCCAAAGTTTGCAAAAGTATAACTTAGTCAAAGGGTTAAAAACTTTATCGTACAATCATAGAAGATAATTTCCGGCCATTAAAATAAATCTAGAAAAACAAAAGAGTCTTCAAAAGTTAACCAAGTCTTGTCAACTAACCCCTAGCTACTTTATCTCCAAGGCTCCATGTAGCAATTTAGCAACATGAAGTACAAACTGGAATCTTGCCCAAAAAGTCCACATCAACCTACTATAGAGTGAAAAATAGGTAAATCATTTACTCTAACTCCATAAAGAAAGAAGTGAAAAGTAAGGAAATAAAATGACTCAATGTTGGGATATAAATGAAAAATAACCTATCTAAAGCAGAAGAAAAGAGTGTTTAAGCACTAAATAATTAGTGCGTATCGGAGTGCCAGGAAAAACTGGTTTTGAAGCCTTTATCATGTGACTGAAGATGGAAATTAATATACGAGCCTTTGCATCATGATGTATGCCTTGTTTCAAACAAGATCACACTAAGCAAATTTCTCAATTTCCAGGTTTAGCAATTTAGCAACATGAAATACAAACTAGAATCCTGCCCAAAAAGTCCACATCAGCCTACTTTAAAGTGAAAAATAGGTAAATCATTTACTCTAACTCCATAAAGAAAGAAGTAAAAATTAAGGAAATAAAATGACTCAATGTTGGGATATAAATGGAAAATAACTTATCTAAAGCAGAAGAAAGAGTGTTTAAGCACTAAATAATTAGTGCGTATCAGAGTGCCAAAAACTGGTTTTGAAGCCTTTATCATGTGACTGAAGATGGAAATTAATATACGAGCCTTTGCATCATGATGCATGCCTTGTTTCAAACAAGATCACACTAACCAAATTCCTCAATATCCAGTTTTAACTCAACTACGCATACAATCTTTCTCCCACATTGACAACTTTATGAAACCCCGCCCGTCCTTGACAATTGACATAATATAGTTTTCACTTTTTAGTTTCATGGAACTGGTTGGAAATGGATGTTGACTACTTGTTTAGGTGGAAACGGGGTATCTTGCATTCAGAATAAGACATGCCTTGGTTTATATCCTGGTATAGATATGCGTTTCAGATGGAGGGCAGACTATGTTCTTTCGGAATCAAAATTGTCAAATGTGGTGGTGGTTTTTGAATTCAAAATTTTGGATCAAAGTTGAAATATATAGTCCTTGTAAGGTGGAGAGTGACAGTAAGTCAATAAGTAATATGTGCATTTTTTGGTATTAACAAGGTGTGGGGACTCGTGAAGCATTATTTAATATGAACTCTGGTCGATTAGATGCATCATTTGATGGAATTAAACCCATACTTGTTCCAATTAGTCCTCAAATGATCAGGTATCAAGTACATCTCTTTTTTAAGTTTTTTGGGTTATTCAAGTAGCAGTTATATGCATGAATTTGAGTTTGTTCATACCAAGTATCATCCTGTTTGTTTGTCTGTAGCTCATCAAGAAATCACCACCAAGTTGAATGGGTTTGTTGGTGTTTAAGGTACATTTTTTTTTACCTTAAAGAGCATGTTTCTTTTAATTCTTGTTTTGCTTCTAGGAAAAGTTTAAGGTACAGTTTCTATCGATTCTGAAACATTTTAGGTTATACTCATTACACATTTGATACTTTCTTGATATGTTTTTAATGGCTTTCTATAGATTCGTAGACATCATTAGCTTCAGCTATGATGGTTGGATATCCACCACAACAACCACCACAACAAGACGAGGATGGGGGATGAGGACACTGACTCGTACGACGATTAGATATTTATGTATTAATATGTTTGAGACATCAATATTTATTCTATGTCATTAATTTCTTATTACGGTTTAAAAAGTTATTGTATTACGGTTTTCAAAATTATTTTCTAGCTATCTGAATATCAAATTATTTGATTAAAATATATTTTATAACCAAATTAAAATAGTTAAAAAAAGAAATTAATTTTTACCATGTCATCGCAGTAAGTAAAAAATTAAAATTTTGATTTTTACCTACTTTACCGACTTGTCACTGTAGATAAAACATTTATTTTTAATTTACCTCCTATAGTAACGAGATGTCGTCCCAGCATAAAAAAATCTGAATTTTTTGTTTTTAGTTTTTAGCGATTACGATGACCGGTGTGCACTAACACCATTCATTATGGAGACATAATACTCACTCTGTGACCATACAATCTCCTACTATCAAAAAACAAATGATAAAGTTACAATGAAAAATCTAAGGATAAAATAATCGATAAATAAAGTCGGAGTTAAAGGAACTTTAACAGGGGTTTGGAGAGTTATATGTACGTATATAAAGAAGATGACTAACACTGAAAAGTAGTTCCATTTCCATGTGCTGAAACTGAAAAGTAATCTCCATTTAAGTTGTACAAGAGAAGCTAAGAAAGTAGTAAGAAGATCTTAAGTAACCATGATCTCCCTTACAAATTACAAGCTTGCCAACTTAGACCAGTTAATTGGTCTTGCGTAATTTGGCCCACCAAACTGAAACTTGTTGATTATAATCGAGGCAGCGTATTGTGTTGGGTGAGCGATATCCCAGAAAAGATACTCCTTTCGGTTCTTACACAATTTAGCCAGTGGATTACAATTGCTCATTGCATTAAACCTCCCCAATCCGCAACAGGCATCTATCGTGTTTGTAAGATCTGAATAAAGAAACAAGAAAAGAACAGTCATTTATGTTAGCAAGTCGTACGTAGACCAGTAGGTATTGTATGAATAAAAATCTCATGTCTCCAAACTCCTTGTCACCTCCTTTTCCTTTCCCACCAATCACATGTTGACCCGTCGACATTTTTATTGGTTATATACTCATTTAATTCATCATTTTATTCTCTTAAATGAAGTGCTGATTTGACGACATGTGATTGGTAGACTGGGAGTTCAGGGACAAGGTATTTTTTATTCATACTTTACAATGTGATTGATTATTGACACTTACTATAATTCTTTGGGTGCTCCATTAATTCCTTAAGTACGTCGTATGAATTTGCGAACGAATATACCATTCCCTTGAAATTGATCATCATATCACACAAAAGCTTTTCGAGTTTATCATTGAATTGTATTGCCATATCGTTTGCTTTTTTTGAACACTCCCCGGTCAGTACGGTTACTCTCACGAGTGGAACGCATCCGACATACGGTATGCCGAAGATCCCGAATTTCCTTACTCCAAGATTATACAAAACCTAAACATAATTATCGTGTCGTTTTAGCTTAATTAGTCCCTACATACAAATTTATAACATATCTTATGAGGTCAATTCTTTAATGGATCTCTTTGGACCCCCACATGCATAGGTTGTATGCCACATCTTAAAATATGATATGATTAATTAGGTGGCCTTTGATATCAGAACTTATACATGAAAACTTATATGACATGATACAATTAATATGCTATAATTGTAAGTAACCGAGTAGCCTTGTTATTATGATACTGTATGCATATTCGATACTCAGTGTTTGAAAATCGAGATGGCATGGTTACACTGATGATTAAGTTTTCTTTAAAGCATGATTTGTTTCAAATGGGAGAGTTGACTTCATAAGTGGACTCGTGAGATATGATATAAGAAGAGAATGAAGGAAATTAACCCTTAGGGTGCTATTGTAACTGTCGATGAGTTCGTCAATGTATGCATTTACTTCCATTTTTTGTCCAGTCATGACAAAAAAGTTTATGTCGTTGTTACCCAAACATAAAAAGAATGTTGATTTTTCAAACAACAGTTGTGTCTTCCAAGCACCAATTGTCGCAGTAAGGTTCCCATATACGAACATCAACTCCATTAGCTGTTGGGTTATTGACACAGATTGCTGAGCCAAAATACATACATACGTTGTTAGCATAGAAGAAAGTTCAAAAGAAAACCATAAATATTTTGAGAACTGAGGAACCACACATTTCATGTATTATTCATAATGAATAACAATGGATATTATTCATCATGAATAATTCCTATCACGACATTCTTTATGAATATTACATGATAGGTATTTGAACCTGCCCTTATTAGCATATACAACAAAACTTAATTGTCGTACATAAATATTATATGCATATAAAAAAAAGAACTTGAGATCTTACATCGATTGCAGAGGTTTTGTCGATAATCCCTGAGCCTGATGAAGCGAAGTTTATTCCTCTTGCAGGGTTTTCCTTATCCGCTTCCATTGAAGCGAAGTTGAAGTCTTTGGTTGGAGTCTCCCAAGGTCTCATAGGATCAAAGTCTATCGCTTTCACAAGATTCGCGCTGAAGGTATTTCCCGTGTCATAAAGTGATTGAAATGGTGGTGGGCTTGTCACGGACTCTCCAAGTGCTACTTTAGCTAAAACATGGTTCATCGATACACAAAATTTGGGTGGTTCACATAGCCGACAATGGTTATATTTTGACAAAAGAAGTTAGTTGTTGGCTAATAGAAATACCTACTTTAATAGATATATATATATATATATATATATATATATATATATATATTCTTTTAAATGAAGTTTTTGCAGTTTTTAGCCTGTTTCTTTCTTTCAACAGATGGGTTTTAAACTTCCTCTAGAATAATGTAAGTATGAGAAAGAAAATAAAATATCTAAATATAAAAAGGAGAGAACTTTAGAAAAATCTAACGAATTTTCTCATTTTTAAGGATTAAGCCACTTATGTTTTTCTTGAATAAAACAACCATTTGAACTCTTAAAATTGGCTATTTTTTTTAACGAAAAAAAGCTGATTGTAACCGGCTAGTAATGTCTTAAAATAAAATTAAAAAACATTCTGTTTCCTTTTTTTTTTTTTTTGAAAGATTCAGTTTCCTTCTATGTCTATTGATTCTCCTGTTTTAAATTTTTTTAATGAAGCATGTATAGACAGATAAAAAAGAGAAAGAATAGGAAAAATGATTTAAAAGCGATGACAGGCCAACAATAGTGATGGGCGATGATAGAGAGCAGACGAGGATGGGGCGGCGAGGGGTGATGAGGCGTAACGATGGTGTTGGATGCGAGGGATATGAATGATATGAGGCTTGGGGAGCCGTAAATTGATTTTTTTTCAAGTTTAGAACATTTTTAGCAGGTTACAAGTAGCTCTTTTGGGGTAAAATGATGCAGATAACCAATTTCTAAATGTTTGATAATTTATTTATAAAAAAGTACATAATTTAATCGTTCAAAATGAGAAATTTAAATGCTTTATTCAGAGAATTTGTTTGAGATGATCTAAGTTGGTTATTGACTAATAAATTATCTATTAGCTGATAAAATAGTAATTTTTGATATAAACTAAACAAAAAATTAGATAAAAATATAAAATGACCTAAAAAATATAACGCATATTTATGTAAAATATAAGAGGGGTCTAATTGAAAAAAAGGGAAAGAACCCTAATTAGCTGTCTAAAACGTCATTTATGCAAAGCCGTTATCAAAATTTGTGTAATAAACATGATTTAACTCAAATTAAAGAAAATTTACCTGTAAAATCAGCCAAGTTTAGACCGTTAGAAAACCTTCCATTAGGAGTCGAGTTGAAAAAGTCGATACCATAGAAGGGGAAATTGGCTTTTGCAAGGGCTCTTGTTACGAAAGTATTCGTACCAACGTCATATAAAGAGTCTCCCAATATAAAGACAGCCGGTGTTCCGGCATGAGACAAACTCAGAGCAAAAATCATTAGACATACCGCAACCACGAAAACGTCAACGAGACTTCTTGTCATGACAAAACCCGAAAGGAAAACAAAAACTTCGATGAAAGGTTGGATTTATGAATGAAACTAATAAAGAAAGACGATGAACATGTATAGTACATATTGGTTGCATTCCCAAGATTTATGATGAAGTTGTTAGAAGTGTTGATTTTGTGAGTCTACAGTTTTTTACTTGTGAATTTGAATTTGTAGTTTGCAAAACCTTCACGTTTGTTTGTTTCTTTCTATTTTATTTTATGTAGATTTACCAAGTTTATTTGATTTGGTCAGGTATTTATGTAATTTTATATTTTATTTAACAATAAAGTATTATTTGTTTTAAAAAAAACCCTGTTAGCTACCACTTATGTCTTATTAGATAAGAGGTTAGACTTATAAGACTGTTTTTTTCTTTTTGTGATAAGATCTTGCAGAAGGAAAAAAGGCTCCTAGCTAAAGGTAGCTTGTCTCGCCCAAGAGGTGAGAAGAGTTGAGAACAAAGTCGCAAACGGGTGCGTAACTAGTGAGAATTTGCCGAACAGTTCGGGCCAAATATTGAAGAAAGCTAAAAAGCGTTGTTTGATGAGCCTGCGTAGTATTAGGTAGTTGGTCAGGTAAAGGCTGACCGAGCCAATGATGCTTAGATGGTCTTTTCGGATGATCAGCCACACTGGGACTGAGACATGACCCGAACTTCCGCGGGGGCAGCAGTGGGTAATCTTGGACAATGGGCGAAAGCCTAATCCAAAAATATCGCATGAGTGAAGTAGGGCAATGCCGCATGTAAATCTCTTTCGTCGAGTGCGCGATCATGACAAAACTCGAGGAAGAAGCCCCGGCTAACTCCGTGCCAGCAGCCGCAGTAAGACGGGTCGGGGGGGGGGGTGTGTTCTTCGAAATGACTGGGCGTAAAATCTTGCTAACCTTTTATTGGACAAGATGGTAAAGGGATGACTTATTAGTTTCTTATTGTACTCTTATTTTTCTAAAACAACAACAACAAAATTGGAAACCTAAAACAAGTGGCTCGTAACAAACTCGAGCTTTTTACTACTTGTATTATGACAATGAAATATTTGAGAATTTAGATGATACAGAGAGTTATTGAGGTTTTTCTTCGATCTATGTAAAAGAAGGAAACGAACTCGAAAGAAGCCCAAAAGTTGGCATCGAAAACGGGAAGACAGTCGATTACGCAACTTCTCTCGCGGCTTGGGCCGCATGCTGGGTCGCGGACGCTTTCTAACAGGTCCCGAAAGGATTGCATTTATTTGCTTATTTGATTATTTTCTTTCTTAAAGAATAATTATTTAGTTTTAGTTATTACTTATCTGCTTACAATTAGGTTAAGATTATTATTTTCTTTTTAGAATTTATCTTTAGTTGGTTTAGAATTAGAATTAGTTCGAATTTAAGTTTCATAGTTATCTCTTAGTTAGCTTAAGTCTATAAATAGGATTCATCGTTTTCAGTATTACTTTTTTTTATTAACCTGGATATTCAACCCGTTATGCGAGTCGACTAATACCAAACCGACCATCCGCTTTGCAGGTAACATGGAGTCACCACATTTGAACCTCCGTGGCCAAAGGAGATTTTTCTATTCCTCCTTCTATTCAAATCTAGGACCTCCAGACGCTTTTGACATTTGGAGTCCAAACTTAAAACAAATCGGGCACCACCATTGTGGTTCGCTTTCAGTATTATTCAGATCATTGATGATAAAAATTCTTTTCCTTGACAATTTTCTCTAACTTTTTTTGTGCTATGTTGGTAGACTCGTTTTTCTAAAAAGACTTAGGGGCCGTTTACCAAACACTTATCAGGGTAAGTGCTTATTAAGTCGCGTTATCTCATCGGATGAATATGATAAGGACGAAGAATCTTCCCCGGTAAGAGCGAGACAAGGACCATGAGTCTTATCCGGTAAGTGAGTGTGACGACTCTTACCACAATAAGAGTTTATCGGGTAAATTGTTGCATAGGATGTCGTTTTGATGGACTAAAATCTTACTCGATAAGTAAATAATAGTGTTAAATTTTACCCGTAAACACTTACCGGGTAAGTGTTTGATAAACGACCCCTTAAATGCTTGTCGATCCTTCCACAAACCCTCGCTGTGTGATTAGACCATCTAAACTGTACTTAGCCTAAAAATAGCACCAAACTTGATACTTCTAAAAAAGCACTAACACTTTTTATTTTGGTTATAAAATAAAATAATTTTTTTTATAAAGTTTTAATTAGCATTTATATTTATTATATATTCAGACATTTACCCGTTTACAAACAACAACAGACAGTCTAAAAAATCAAAGTAACAACTAAGTAGCCAATTATACAAGTTGATATGCATGTCCAAACAGACTATTGTTATCTTAATAATGTTGTCTAAACATCATTAAGACGAGATTATTTAAACATGCATGCTTCAAGACAAGACTGCTTAATTAATTATTCGTATATCTGATCATATGTTGTTTGATCGAATTATTAAAGCCGTCACAATTAAGTCGTCGACGATCAATATGCTGCCAACTGAGCAAAGTTAATCGGGGTCACAAATTGTGGTCCACCGTTATATAAGGTTTTAGCGGCGAGCTCGGAAGCATACTGTGTTGGATGGAACAAGTCCCAAAATAGGTATTCGTTACGATTCGAGCACAGTTTTGCTTTTCGTGTACAAGATTTTTCGGCATTCAACCACCCTTCGCCACAACATGCTCTATCAACGTACGAAAAATCTGAAAGAAAAACCCCAGAAAGAATTCAAATTAAGCACCGTAATACAACAAAATTGGGCCCTATCAGCGACGCATACGTGAATTTTCATTTTTCATTTTTTTAAAAATAGAAATTCGTGGATTCCATCGCTAATCCGTCGCTAAGTAGCTACAGCCACGTGTCTGCCGCTAAGCCGTCACTAATTAGCGACAGAATTAGACTGTCGTTGTTCGTCGCTAATACCTATTTTTCTAGTGGTGTAAAATCAACCATCACCAAATGTGCGTTGGTGTCGTTAAAAGACCATGATTTGTCGCAGAAAAATGGTTTAAACTTGTTTATGTACTTACTGAATAGTTGTGGATGGTTGATGACGTTAATCGTCATTTCATATGAATTTCCGAGCGCGTACTTCATTCCTGATAGCTTACAAGCGAGTTTCTTCAAGAGGGTATCAAGCGCTGAATGAAAATTTTGAGCAAAAGTATTTTCGATCTCCAAACATCCCCCAGTGATGTTGTGAATTCTTTGTGACGGGCAACAACCGATCGGTGGTACTCCTATGATCCCGAACTTCCTTGCTCCGAGGTTGTACAAAGACTTACACAATTCCAAGATTGTTTTAGTTCGATTTTACGATAATTATACAACAATATTAAGATATTCACAACATACATTATGAAAAATGGGATTAATAGCCGAATGTGTCACTATTCGCATCTTTAGCGATGGAATTTCCTTCAATAACGACATTTTCTCGAAACAAAACGTGAATTAGAAATTATCGCTAAATTAGACTTTTCACTTCAGATGTTTGTCGCTAAACACGATATCATGTTTAGTAGTTAATAATGTTTATCTAAGAAATATGTACCTCAATATGACACTCGTACGCCGTCATTAATGAACCAATGAAAACAGCAGGATCGATGGTGCTTTGGCTTTCGAAGTAGCCAAAAATGTCGTTGCTCCCAACACTAATGGCAAACACGGAGTTTGCGATTATGTTTTTAGTTGCGCCTCGACCCTTTACTAACGTCAGATTGCTACGAACCGTCTCAAATTGCTTGATTTGCTCAGACAATGATACAACATTCTGCTCACATGTTGATCATATTAGGAACAACATAAAGGAAAAAAAAAACATCAGTAGTAGTTGATGCGGTCATGTATGCATGACCGCATCAACAACTTGCATGTAAATGACTTACCAGGTGTTTTCCGGTCTGGTCCAAAAGACCGGATGCTCCAGATGCGAAGTTTACACCTCTAAACATCCGCTTTCTTAGGCCCGCTTTAAGAAGAAACAAGTACGGTTGCGGGCTTCTTTTCTGTCCCATTAACTTGGCTGAAACCGATACAAGAAAACCAAAAACAACATATTAGTAGAAATTATTTACAACTAGATATACGATAATTTGATCATACTAACACAGAAAATCAGCACTATTCAAGCCGTTGCTGAAGCGTCCGGTAGGTCTAGAATTGGGAAAATCTATCCCGTTGTGAGGAAAATTGGCTTTTATTTTGGTTTTGGGGAGGAAAGAGTTCGTTCCAACATCCGCTGTCGAGTCACCAAATATGAAAATGGCGGGCATCGTACTATTAGAAGTTTTCGTGGCATCAGAAAGTTGCAAAATGGCGAAAAAAGTTCCCACAATAAGATACAAAAAACTCCCGTACATTTTTCCCATCAAAATGTTAACGAAATAAACACGATTATGTGTTACAAGGATGATGAATTGAAACCGATATCTTAGTTGCAAATACTTGCTCGATCAGTTAACACATATATAGGGTTCGAAATTAAGTACAAGACAAAACACGAATGAGACAAACTTATTGAAGTAATCCCTCAAGTTCTACAAGAAATATACATCAAATGGGACGGGTTTGAACCATGGACGAATGTAAGTTTTCTCGAACACATTTTGTTTTAACGTTATTGTTTGTTCTAAAGGGTAAAATAGTCATTTTAGTTTGATATTGATTCACAATATTTTGCCGTCCGTGTCACAAAGTTAACAACAATCTCTTGTTTTTTAAAGGTCTTGACTACGTCAATTATTATGTGCCGAAATCATTGGATTTGGAAACATGTAATCGGATTTAAAAAGATATATGTTTTGGTTTTTGAAAAATCAAATGAAAATTATATTTCATGTTGGTTTATGTTTCAGATGAATTTTTGTCGATGTTTTAAATTTGTTATCTTTTTAAACCTTTAATTATAACTGTTTTGGTACCTGATCCCATGTCGTGTGTCACCAGCATGAAAGATACTAAATACTGATATTGATGTACAACCAATAGATCAAAGACGTGATTTCTTGGAGCAATTTGTTTGTTCTAAAAGGTAAAACTCCTAATAGGTCTGCTTACGTTAGCCAGGGGCGGATTTAGCATGTTAAAGGTGGGGGGAAGGGCCCCCATTAAAAAATAAAAAAATGAATTTTTTTAAGGTTAAAAATTGTTTTTTTTACTTTCTATCATGGTTCTCCTTCGTAATTTTTTGTTAAGGCCCCCACCAATTAAAGAAAGTATCTTGAAATCAACCAAAAAACTGAAAAGTTCTTCGAAAATCGATAAGAAAACCTTAAAAAATCCCTCGAAATAATCCAAAAAAACTTCAAAAATCTCTTGGAATGGTGGAATTAGGCTTAAAACACATCGGACGACTTAGTGGGCGTTTAAGCTACCTTAAAGGTGCTCCCACTAGACCAAAATCCCGGATCCGCCACTGACGTTAGCAATTTAATATTAGGTTATGTTAATGCATATATGTATCTTAGCATTTTCATATAACATATATTAACGTAATGTCACATTTAGCCTCCTTTACAGCCATGCCGATAAAGTTCCCTTGTAATACAAAACTGCCACCGCGTTTCCGAGTCTTTCACTACGAAAAAACTCATCCAAAGGCTTGGAAAAAATTCATACAGTTATCACGAAAGATAAAATTCTCACACGATTCTACTTAAAAAAGAATTTATATAATGATGTCAACTTGACTTAAAAAGATTAAGGCCCTTTTTAGGCCCAATTATTAGATGACAAATTCTTAAAGACTACTAAATGAAGGCTTAAACCCAAATGGCCCAAATACCAATTCTCTTTTTGGGCCGAGTTCGAAAAATGTCAAAACACGAATCGGCTCAACTTTTAAACTAGGTGAAAGGCACGATCCGATTTAGGTTTATAGGACCACCATCCTTCCGATATGTTGATCGGGGAACGAATTCAATTATAACATCTGTAGCTTAACGTTGTGGGCTCTAAATGCATCTGGGTTCCAACAATTTCTAATGCACGGTTCTAATCGATCATAAACTGTGTCATCCAATCGCTTACCAAAACCATGCGTTTTATATGTGAACCGAAACAGATGAAATTGGATTAGATTATATAAGTTTTTGTTTTGACTAAGACGTCGTTTATCACATACTTACTGGGTAAGCACTTATCGGGTCTCACTTACTTTATGGGTAAGCATGGTAAGAAGCAAGAATTTTACTCGGTAAATTACATATCAAGGATCGGAAACGTTCCATGATTAGTGAGAAAGAAATCCTTTACCTGTTTAGCACTTGTCGAACAAGAGATTCTTACGATCAACCACGATGATGGAGAATATTATCTGATAAGATTGGAATCTATAAGAATCTTGAACTGAAACAAAGATGCTATAATTTTCTTTGTAGCGAAAAGCAAAAGATGCACATGCCCTTGAAAGACGCACTAGAAAAAAAAATCACTCTCTTTTGATTTGTTCGTGTCTTTCTATTTAGTTTCGTCTTTTTTCAATTTGATATAATTCTTTTTTATATCTATGAGCGTCTTCGATTTTTAGGTTTTATAAGTAAAAAGTATAACTTTTTATAAGAACCAACGTACGTTATGAGGACTTTTTTTATAAGAACTTTCATCCATTTTGAATTCTTGTACAAGAACCTTGATCCTTACCTCGAAGTTGATGTGAAATGACAATTTGCTAGTTTTTTCATAAATTTTATTGACTTTATTTATAAATATATAACATTACTGATGTTGAAAAAATAAATAAGAACTATTATTATGGACTTTTATATAAGTTATTAATTTGATTAGCCGAAAATGATGTGACAACAACAAATATAAAAAAGTTATTACAAAATCCTCCATTAAAGATATGCTCTAAAGAAAAAGATAATGGCGTTTCCGACTTTTGTTACCAACAAAGTCACTCAAACATTCATGGGCAGACCTATCATTTTGTGGTGGTTGCTTGTCAAAACTGTACGCTGTGTGGATAAACACTTTTTGTTGGGTGAAATCATGAACTTAACCAGTAACCCTAACCTTTCAAATATATGAATTTCATTTGATATTAATTTCTAGTAATATTCAGGTAAAACCTGGTTTTTTGTGTTAATATTTTAGATTTTAAGGTTGATTGGTATTTATTTGTGTACAGGGTTTTATTTGATTATATTTATCGCCAAACTCTTTAATTATGGTTAATTTATTTATACTGATATTAACATAATAATATGTTAGTTTGAGGCTGATTATTTAACGTTAATTTGTTTATTTTTTTGGGATTAATTTATTGCAACTGAATCCGGCCATATAGAATTATAAAGTGTAAGCATATCAAAACAATCAGTTAGTTTTAACAGATAAATTTTTAAAAAAGAATTAGTTTATCAGTTTGTTATGACATAAAATACAACATAAAAGCCTTGAAGTAAAAATCATGTGATACACGACTCGAAAAGTCGAGTGTTTTTTCCATAAGGGCTGCCATCCATAAAATTCAGCACAATTTTACTAATACAAGTCAAAACCCAAAGGTCTGGTGACATGTGTTAAACGGTAAAGTTGATATGTACATGTATTTGGTAAATTGACGATATATGAAAACGTGTTAAGGTTCACATATGTTAGGTATCAGGTGTGACATGATTGAATTTGATAATATTGTAGTAGTGTGAAAGGAGAGGGACCTGTTGAAATCGTATTAGTCAAAAGTATCTATATCTATACTATATTATAAAGTATTTGACAAAAAAACTCTTAAAAACCATTTTTTATGTATGAATTACTGTTTATTGATGTATATTACTTAAAATTCAATATTACAAGTAAATTATGCTTAAGTACAATTTATTAAAACTTCATGTTTGAATTTGTGTAATTAACCGCAGATAAATATAATCAAATATAAGATAAAAATCTCACTTTAAATATAAAAAAATATATAATATAATTAAGATAAATATTATGTTTTAAAATAATACTTAATTATCATACTTATAAAAAAAAATTTATATTACTAGACCTAAAATAAATTAATATCGATAAAAAATATACAAAAAACAAGAATTTTAAAATTATTAGCTTGATATTAATATCGATAAAAAAATTATGGGTCTTAAAATTTATATTTTATTCACATATAAAAATATTATTATTTTCTCAAAACCATATTATAAAACAAAACATTAAAATTAAGATGTATCTCGTTACAGTATACGAATATGATTCTACTTGATATGAATTCGAGACACCGTCATTGTTTATTATTACATATGTGTGAATTAAATGTATAGAGAAAATAGATTGAAAAACTAATTCAAAGATAGGTCAAAATCACATGATTAAAATGAATAAATTGACAAAAATATTAAGTTAATAATTAGGTGAAAATTCTTAAATTAAATATTATGGTAGTTAATAAGTCCTTTCATATATAAGTTTGTTATTAACGGGCCGGTCACATGTTTTGTTTTAAAGTTAAAAACCGTGACAACCAATTTACTTGAGTGTTGTTTTATATGAACATTTAATGTTTATATTAGAAGAGTAGGGTACTCGTGTAATGTAGCGAGATAAATTTTGATTTTAATGTTTAGTTTTTATTCTTTGTATTTATCAATATAATACGATTTTATGTGGTTTTGAGAAAACGATAATGTTTTTATTTTTGAAATGAAATATAAATTTGAAGATAGAATAAAAATTTGAAAAAAAATAAATCAATATTACTATCAAATTAACTATTTAATAGTTCTTGTTTTTTGGTGTAGCTTCTTTAATTCAATTTTTATTATAATTTAATTTATATTTAATAATAAAGTAATTTATTTTTGATTTAATAATATAATTTTTTTATAAAGATAATAATTAAACATTCTGTTAGAACTCAATGATTATCTTAATTATATTTTAGATGTTCTATATTTAAAATGGATGTTTATCATGTATTTGATTATGTTAATCTGCAGTTAGTTATACGAATTTAAAAATAGAGCTTTGATAAGTTGTACTTAAGCAAAATTACTTGTAATCTTGAATTTTAAGTAATATGCATCAATAAACAATATTTCATGCATAAAAATGGTTTTAAGAGTTTTTGTCAAATGCTTTATAATATAGTATAAATAATGTTGTTTTTAGGGAGGATATTATGGATGTGATTGAATTTGAATATTTTGAATTATCAATGGGATATTTTGATTGGTTACATTCCTACTATCAAGTTCATCCTATTCAGGGGATAACATGTGTTCATAAATGAAGTATGTTTTTCATTCTTCGACTTTAGCTATTGTTCACCAGTGAAGTAAACATTTGTTTATGAGTTAAAATAAATGTATGAATCTTGTGAAAGGGAACCCTACTTGTTCACTTAAGTGAAATC